AAACTATTACAAACTTATCAATTAAGAGTCAGATTATTACCTCTTGTCTACCTAGTTCGTTTTCTTCTGCTTCTGATGTATTATCAATTAGTGATCACATTATTAGCGTCTTCCTGTTCCTTCTCTATCTATATTCTATTAATTAGCACTCTTACTATATATAGAGAGATTGTATTTCACTTTTCTGTTTTTCCTGATGATGATAAGTGTCTCTTATCGAAAGCTTCAATAAACCATAAATTGATTTTTGTTAAAAATCTAATATGATTTTTGTAGCAGTGTTATATTCAATAATTTCTAAATTTATTTGTTTTTGTTTTATTTTGCAATAACTGATGACCCTTCAGGTCCTGACAGTACAATGTGTGACAAAAAAAGAAAAAAAAGAGTGAGACAATGTAAGAAGAGAAGATATATATATATAAAAAAAAAAGAGAATATTACTACTACATTAGATCACAGGCTGAATATACAGCAGTACACAGTAACTGCACATAAAATTCCACATAAAATTACGCTAAAAATGATTCAGGAAAATCCTGCAGAAGTTCAACCTCCTCCATCGTAAAATAAGGAACAGAAGAAGTACAGGAGTTAGCAGAGACCCACGAAACACACTTTTCAAGGATGGACATGTTCTCAACATATCTTTTCGTTCTTCTGAGACATTTAACACGAAATTCTTTCTCCAACCAGGCCTTTCTATACTCATTTAAATTTGCCTTTTCAAATAATAGTTCGCCATTAATAGAATCTGCCAGAGCTGTTAGATATTTGTCCCAATATTTTACGCATCTATCCTCGAGAGAAATTTCCTCAAAAACATACGCGAAGAAGTTATTATTCCACTGTAAGCAACACGCTTAAGACGGATGTAATAAAAATGAGAGAGATCGTTCCGTTGTTTATCGGTGAAGAGGGGAAATAAAGGAAAGAGCCAAGTAAAGAGTGGAAGAACATAAGATAGAAAGAGAGCTTTTCGTAACGGGACAGACGTACAACCCGAAAATCTGAAGGCATTTATCATTGCAACACGTTGTCTAATCTTGGTCATCGCCCTTTTGATCATACTTCCCCACCCTAGTTTCGACATGATCCAACAACCAAGGTACCTTTCACCCAACTGATCTTGTTCACTCCAGAAAAAATCTCAAACTTAGGTAAACCAATCGCTCGGACCGACCACAAACCTTCCGTTTTCATATAGTTGATAGGTTGGACTGTCAAGAGCGCACAATACTCTAATTGATCAAAGAACAGTTTCAATTTCCTTTCGAGATTGAGATATTGCTCAGTGAAACGGATTCCAATTTGTCCTGCTAGCACCGCTGCCAGATCATCAGCAAAGAAATGGCTTAAACACCAAGACAGAAAATCACCCATGTCCGCATGATAACAGATGAAAAGTGTTGGGGTGAGAATGCCTCCTTGCGGTCCACCCTTCTCAATCGAGAACCATCGAGGTTTCTTCCCGGTGATCTCAATGTAACCACGTCTACCGTATAGCCATGCTTTGATCCATTTCACATATGCCGGAGGAATTCCCAATTGTTTCAATTTGCCCAAACAACCCTCAAACCACAACTGATCAAAAGCGGAACGAAAATCGACGAAGATCGTGGACACCGGCGAACTGTTGCACATCAAGCTAGGAACATCCTCAAGGAACAATAATAGCCGGGTTTGGAGTCTAAACTTTTCACGAAAGCCTGATTGACAGTCAGGTAACAATCCTCTTCTTTTTAAAACATCACGAAATCGAGTCAAAAAGAGTTTTTCCCTAATTTTCTGAAAAGAATCGAGCAAAGAGATTGGACGAGTAAGAGAAGGTGAACAAATTGATTCTTTCTTCGCCAGCAGTAAAATCCGTGTATCTTTCCATGCCGTCGGTAAAATAGCTCTTTCGAAGGAGAAATTATAAACCTGGAGGTAAGGAGATAAGAAGTTGAACATATAGTTGGAAAGACCGTGAGCGTCACAAGATTTCTTTATTCGTCTATAACTAACAGTTTCAATTAGTTCTTCAAGCATGACTTCTGGAATTAACTCGTCCTTGTTATCAAAATCAGTCCACGGTGCGTCAGTATATGGATGTGGTCGAACAATACTTTCTGGTTTCTTAAAGAACTCCTCATAATAGTCGGCTGCAAGCTCACTCATCTTTAACGGATCTTTTACTATTTCACCAACAGATGGAATAAACGCGTGGAGTGAAGAGGAAGATGGTTTTATAAAGATTTTTGTTTTCGACCAGAAGGAGACGGAAATCCGCGAAGACGTGTGACGTAAATTAAGCGTAGAAGAGAGTTGAGAAGAAAGAAAAAATCTTAACTCTTTCTTAACCAATTTTCTTAGCCAACGAACTTCATTCTTCAACTCCGTACTTTTCGTTCTCATCTGCTTGAATGAAAGAGCTCTAACGCATGACATAAAGGATCTTAGTTCTAACGGAATAGCTACTCTATATTTGCTTAGCGAGAAATAGACTGTGCAACGAGCTGTAAGAAGGCTAAGAAATCTAATATAATCATTGTAGGTATCATTTAATATATCCAGTTTCCATCTCTCTTCCCAAAACGCGAACACAAATTCCAAAAATAATGAGAATACCTGCCAATGAACCGATTTGCCTTGAACATTCTTCGATATTTTGGTTTGAAGAACCGAGAGAACAGGACGATGATCACTCGTTGTGCTTCCGGTATACGCATTGATATCAACATTAACACCACTAGCAAGAGCATAATCAATAATCCTATCTGATCTTAAGGACGTAGGAGAATCTGGAGTAAACGAAGCTAGAAAGAGCGAATCAGCCCAAATCAACAACTTATCAGCTTCCACATTATCTATTTCTAAATCCACATTGAAATCTCCATAAACAACACATTTAGAAGAGACAAAAGGAGAAAGATCGTCCCACTTCCAAGATTTGCTTTCCGGTGCATAGACTCCTACAATTCGAAACTCATTATCGCCTTTGATTTCTAGAACGCAGACATTTGGCAGCTTACAGTCGACTCGATTGACCGGGATTCCGTTCCTAACCAAAATAATCACTCCTCCATTCTTATTTTCACCTTTCTGATAGAAAACCCTGTAATTATAGAACGCCTGTACATAGAGAGAGAGAGGTCCATATCGCCTGTCTCGAGAAGAAGAAGAATATCGAGATTGTGAGACGCAGAAAGAAGAAGGACTTCCTGCCAGCGGAAATTCAACCCACGAACGTTAAATGACAAAATGTAGAGAGAAGAAAAAACAGATAAGTCGTCAGCAGACAGAAATTTTTCCCAAAGAGAAAAACAAGTAGATAGAAGTGAACAACTTTCCCACTCGGACAAGATTTCACAAAACATTTTACAATCGAAAGAAGATAAATCCTCATGAGCGGAGAACAAAAACTCATCTCTTTTGCTCAAATTTTCTAAGCGGGTACACGAGAAAAAAGGGGCACCAAAAGGCGACAAGGTCATAATAGAGTAAAGTCTTTACCCTCTTTTGCAGTGATCACTTGTGATAGTCGCAATTCCATTATGCTTCTGAAATTCTCGTCATCAACATTTCCATTCTTAAGTTTATTTTTCGAGGCCAGAAATGGAATAATCGCCTCAAACATTGGCAGAATTAAGTTATAAAGTAAGTTGTCATATTTCTTGACGACTTCTACTTGTTTCCCATATAGATTCTCCTGACGTTCCAATAGTATGTGTTGTTGCACTTGATTTGTTTGCAGTATTTGATGATCTTGCTTTAGTTTTACAATTTCATAAATTACTTTTTCATCGTGTTGATTTTTTTCAATCATGAATTGCTCGAATCTCTCCATTTTTGATGCCATTTTTTCTAACGTTTCGTTCACCTTTGCCAAGTTCCCAATTAGAGCATCCATTTTGTTCATCATAGGACTGTTGTTAGTTGGCATTGTTTGCATGAGAGGAGTTGGAAGAGAAGGAAAATTGGCAGCGACATATTGGTAGTTATTGTTAGAACCGTTGTTTGATGAGGACGATGCAAGACGATTGATGCTGTTAATGTTGCTATTTAACAACTTTCTCGTCAAATCGGCACGAAACGATTTGACCACTGGGCACTTTTGAGCATTTGAATAGTGGTCGCCTCCACAGTGAATACATTTTGCAACAGCTGAACAGTCATGGAGTTTCAAATTCGGACAAGACAGCCCACACGTCCTGCACGTTTCGTCCCGTTGCGTGCACTGTTTCTTAAAGTGCCCGATGCCCATGCAATTGGAGCAAATCAATACGTTTGCTGGTGCCAAAAATATTCATCCAGATCATACATGATATGATTGACTAATAACTTTTTGCCAGCTAACACTTCTTCTCTTGTTGCTGATGATGTCAATTCGATTTTGACCAATCTGATGTCGTTCCCAAATTTGTTTTTCATACGTACGACGTTTTTTATATCTGGATACATGTTCTTCAGGTCACCTGCAAATTCATCCATATCGATTCGTAAATCGACACCTTTTATTAAAAGAGATAGTTGAAGAGGAATAGACGGTGTTGAAGGGAACACATAGTTTTGTCCACTGATTTGAGCTGGCCATTTAGCTTGATCCAGTAGAGGCAAACGATGACGCATCTTTAAGGTAGAGAAGAATGTCGCATTCGTTAACATTACATTTTTGATTCGATAGACGACAGTTGGCAATTTGAACGTCTGCTTGATGTTGATTTTTAGAGTGAGAGACAATTACTTCATTAACTTGTTTGATTGATACCTTTCCCGTACTGAAGCGAAGAACGAACGGGAGGAATGGGAAACGTGTTTGGGCGTATCGTACCGATGCAGAAGATATACTTTGATGCTGTTGATTTTGTTTCGATTGAACTGACGAGTTTGCTACTGTTGTGGTAATGCTAGTGTTGATGCGCTGCTGTTGAGAAAACTGAAGATTAGCATTAATCATCTGTTGTTTTTTTCTTTTGTTAGCAACATCTTGGAATTCCTCTTCTTGCGAGTCGTTTGAACGAGAACGACGTGTTGACCGAGCAGGTGAATCGATCAGTTGCATATTTGTGGTGGAGGGAGGGGGAATGTTCGATTTTTTATGATAAATCACGTTAGACTGTGGGTCTTGATACATTTGTGAGTGTGAGTCATCCTGTTGACTATCATGAGTCATATTTGAATCAGTTCCCAATATGTTATTCACGAAATGACGATTTTGAGGATCTTTAATTTGATACAATTGTTTAATTTTGTGTGAATTTGGATAATTAGCCATCGTTTTGACTAATTTAATCCAAACTTGTGTTATTCAGCGATAACACGCACTCAGTGCGTGATATATTTAAATATTTTTTACTTATGAATAGTATTATGTATATATGTGGAGCAGAGGAAAGACAAGAAAACACGTCTGACTATGAATATGATTTCACTCTGAATGAATAATTTCTAAATTTATTTCTACTGCTCCACCTTCAAATTATTTATCTGGTTTAGTCTTTCGATAATGTTAGTTCTTTGTTATTTTAGATTCTTGCAATTAAAACAATTCTTGGTATTCCCGTAACTGAGAAGGAAAACATGGTAAATATTGGCGAAGAACGAAAAAGAAAACGTCTGGAAGACAAACAGGGAACAAGTGATAGAAAACCACCATCAAAAGGTAAATATAGTTTTAGGTTGTGGTTTTCCCAGCCTTATGGAAGAAAAAACTGTTTCTCCGTAGCATCACAGTTTCTTTTTCAAATCTATATTTGTTTTTATATGTTTTAGTTGATCGTCGAGCTAACCGATCCTATGCAGTAAATAAAATAAAACTTCAGCGTGGAAGGCGAAGGTATCTTCATTTTCCCACGTAGTTTCTAATGAGATTTGTGATCAAAATGGAATGAACCACTTTGCTCGGAATCCTAAAGTGGCACTGACCACTTTGTAATTTAGCGCAAAGTGGACAAGGTGGTCTCAGATAAACCTTCAGCAAGCAGCGTTTGTAAAACAGTTTTCAGCTGGCGTTCTAAAACGTGAACCTATCTCAGCTTTCTTCTGCCTTTTATAGCTGAACTTATTGTTGTTCTCATCCATATTTACGCTATTTAAAAAAACGTTTTCACCCTAGTTGGATTTCCTTTCCGGTTTTCCTTTTCTACGGTCTATTTTTTCCTTTTCCTACATTCGGATTTTCTACATTTTCATCATGTGTATTTTTCTCATTCAGCGTTTTGAATCGTACACGATTGTTCAGGATAGTCGTAATCCTGGACCTGGGCATCTTTCACTACATGCCGCTCCTAAAGTCGATGACGAAACATATGAAGGGCGTCAAAGAGAAAAACTATTGATTTCTCTTGATTTTCGAGAA